GAGTGCGCCCCCCTTCACCCCCCAGCCCCTCATCTCACGGGGCCTCTCTCCCCTCAGAGCCCGGCAGCTGAGCACAGCCCGTCCCCCTCCTGGCCCCTCTCCCCTCTGGCCCCGCCGCCCATCACGAAGGGGCAGGGCCCCGCTACCCCCAGTCGCTCCGGCAGAGTCTCTCCGGGCTGGGGTCTCACAAGCCGAGGCGTTGAGCGGTCAGGCCAAGGCCTCCCACCAGGACCCTGGGCCCACCACTCTCTGCCACGCTGGAGCTGCCTGCACCTCCATGAAACATTTCTTAGGGATGGGGATAGTGAATAGATAACGAAGGCTTGACCCAATTCATGGCTGAGGAGCTTCCGGCCCTTCTGTGCTGGGTTTCGTGACTTGCTGCCCCAGCTCTTCACCAGGAGCCAGGCTGGGGGGCTGGTCACAAGGGAGATGCCCAGCAGCCTGGAAAACGCGGAGGAGTTTGCTCCATCACGGAGGAAGCGTGTCACTTCTTGCTCTCCCAGACCAGAGGCTGTACGGGATTTATCTGGGGGTTACAGGAAAGCTGGGAAGCAAGAGCCCCAGATGTCAACCTAGAAACCCTCTGTTGGCAGCACAGCCATTCTCTGAATGAGAAGATTTTTGTTTTTTCCCGTTCCAAAGTTACAATTTTCAAGTTGACAGAAGAAATTCCTCCCAGTCTTTTCTATGCCAACCTTCTCCAAGCTCTCCAGCGTGACTTGCTTCCTCCTGCTGCATGAGCTACTGGGAGATGATCATTCTCATGTTTCATTTTAACAAGGCACACTCCCTCAAGTGTCTTCAATAAACGAACACTATTTTGTCCAGAGACACAGGGGAAATCACTGGCCATGAGTGGTCTGAAGCTCTGCTTCTGCAACTGCAAATGCTTGTCTACAACCCAGGGCTTGGTTTGGTTTTTCTACCAGCAATCTTCCCTTGAGGGACTCTGGCAAAGCAAGGATTGACTGCACTCTGCTGCGCAAGCTGCCCCCAGGCTGAGACAGAATCATCAGTAAATAATTAGCAAGCAAAGGTCGTAATGGGTCAGACCTTCAAATACAGCAGCTCCTGTTGAAAGTTAACCACGGGATATGTGAGCCAATGGTCCAAGGCAAGCAAGAGAGGAAGGTTTAGGGAAGCAGCGTGGAGTGGACAGCAGCAGGGACAGTGGGAAGCATGAGGGCTCTAGCAGTGCTGATGTGACTAAGGGGGTGTCTGGACAGGCCTGAGCAGGGAAGCTGGGGCACGAGACCACACAGCACAGTCAGCTGAGCAGGAGGCATGGAGGAAGAGCAGGCAACTCAAACTAACAGCTGTGACACACACGCGGCAGACTCCTGGAAGTAAGCTCTTGGAGTGAAAACTTGAGGATAAAGGCAGTGTTTTCAGCCGGCGTTTAATAGAAATCTGGCTTTGAAATTAGTAATTTGCAGATGTAGAGAAGGCACATACATTTGGAGACAGCTTTCCAAAATCAGCTCCTGTGAATTTCTGTGAATAATTATGAAAATAAAAAAAAAAAAAGAAGAAAAAGATTATGGCTTCTCAGAGTGGCCCATATATGCTAATCACACTGCACTCAATATGCTAATCACAACAGGGGAACATGGCCCATGCTGCCACACCACCAAAGGCTGTCCCTGTTGCTCTGGCATATTGCAACAAGCCATGTGGAGACGCAGAACAGAAACACACGGACAGGAGAAGAGAAGCACAGCACCACTGGTGAGGCTGCCACTGCCCAGTGCCTCAGGTCACTTGCAGAAGAAGCCGTATTTCAGCGGGTCCTCCTCTTCAACAGTGAAGGTGGCTGTACCGGTGTAAAAGGCTTCTCCAGAGACTTCCACAATGACAGCATTGTAGTCCCCAAACTTGGCTTCCTGCAGAGGGATTAGGATTAAGACAGAGGCAACAGCAGGTTCTCCACTCTCTCAACTCCACAAAATGCCAGTGCTGCCTAGAATTTACGCAGAGACACCCCTCACCGAGTACTCTGCCCTGCCCAGCACCTTTTACCACCTGCACGGGCACCACATCTGCACAACTGCTGCTGCCCCCACTCTGAGCTTGCAAGCCCTTGCACTGCCACAGTGTAGCTTTGCCCCTTTTCTGACCCCAGTCCTTTCCTGCTGGCCGAGAGAGGATCTGCAGGGAAGCCATGCAACAGGACAAGATCTTACCATTACTGGCTTCTCTAATAAAAAATCTAGAAGCATGAAGGTTGTGAGAAGGCAAGATCCCCCAGGTATCTCCCTCCTTCCATACGTGCTTCCCCAGGCACAGAAAGGCTTTTCCTGCTGCTCTCCTGAGCCAAGGCAACAGCACTTTTCCAGCAGTCCTCAAGACAGAGGGCAAGTCCAGCACAAGCCACTTGCCTTCACTGCCTTCCCGGTGAACAAGGAGCCTGTGGTGCTGCTCCGAAAGGTTCTGGTCTGGTTCAGCTGGATGAGGCCCTTATGGTACTGCAAGGCGATGCGGGCTGTCACACCCGAACCTGTCGGACTTCGGTCAACCTACATTCAGAAGAGAAGATGAACCATCTCCATTATTTTGGGTTTTAATAGAAAACAGTATTGCTCCCCTCATTTCTCTTTGCCACCGTCATATGTGCTTGGGGGAAACCCCTCTAGCCCAGGGTTTTGTATTGAATCCAGATACATCACTAATGAGAAGACAAAATAAGCAGGTTTGGCGTAGTTTTAGATTGCAGTCAGCTTTGGCAAACTTGTAGGGGTGAATGATGTAATGAATATTGAGGCTATTTAGGGAGTACTTGAAACCTTCCCAGCATCACAGCAAAAGGGCTGGGAGGGGCAGAGGCCACCTGCCCCATTCCCACGTGTCAAGGTAGGATCAGTTCTCCTTACACTGAGAGCTGCTGGACAGCCTGGTTTTTAAAACCTCCAAAACCACAGTGCTGGCCACCTTCCGAGGTGGTCTGTCCCAATGCTCCACACTCCTCCCTGCTGGGAACTCCAACAAAAACTTTCCCTGCTATTTCTGTGATACCCTATCCAGTGCAGACAAGGACAGAAGTTTACACTCCCTCTTTTCTCTCTTGCTCTGTTCATCTCCAGCAACTGTTCCTTAAATTAGGACATGCACTATGTTGCAATCCTGCCTCAGCCCCTGAACTCTTGAGAAATTCCTACCTACAGGACATGGGTACAAGCCTTTATAAATGCCACCACTGAAGATGTGCAGTAGTCTTCCTGTCATTAGGAACTAAACCAGCATGTGTTAAGTGACACTCAGCTCTTCAGAGACATAACGTTAGCAAAAGCAATGATCACTGCCCAAACTGAGAAGAAGCAGAAGCATCCCTTGTCTGTGCAGTGGATGTAGGACAGGAAAAGGTGATGCCTTATGTGCCTGGGAAGAGCCCGTTTCTGTACCTGTTCGTCTGCAAACACACAGATGTTGGTGGTGGGCTCCTCACTGAAGGCATCTTTCCCATCTGTAAGTATGGTGCCGTAGAGGAACGCCAGGTCTTCACTTTCAGGGTGATGAAGCTTGAACTGGGAACAGCACAGACAGGTTCACCAAGGCACGCAGCAGCTGGCCTGTCAGCAGTACATGCAGCACAGCTTCCTCGAGAGACCAGAGGAGGGGGACGAGGCCACACTGCTGCGTCTCCATCTCTGCTTCTCCAGCAACAGAGACAGGCGCAGCAGGAGGACAGCAAACTCCTCACGTTCTTGTGAGGTTGGAGGACTCTGAAATTCAACGCGGGGCTGGAAGGATAGGACTCCCTCCTATCCTGAGTGTCTGGGGGGAATAAAGGGCCTTGGTCTGGTGCAGTCACACCGAAGGGAACGCACGGGGGTGCCGCAGCTCTCTGCCGTACCTGTTTCTTCACCGCTTCTGTCACCGCGCTCGCCGCATTGACAAGGTCTCTGGTCTTCGAAGAGCACACATCAAGGCCCAGCTGCTCAGCGCTGAGGAAGGCGTAGAAAGTGCCGCCATAGCCGATGTCGACCACCACCTTCCCGTGACCAGGGACATCAATGGCCAAGTCTGGGCAGAGAAAAGGAGGGTGGTGAGGAGAGGGAACTGTGCTGAGCTATGGGCTTGCACACAGAGTGAAGGGACCCAGCCACGAGGGAGGGGAGGGATAGCAACGATGACTCGAGTGCTCCTGTGCCAGAGCAGCTTGTGATGCCTTATGCCATCCCTGGCGGCCTCCAAAGAACATCAGAATCGGAGAAGGATTTGCCAGATACCCTCAGCCAGGCTGCCAGCCCCCAAGCCCAGCACGGCCACCACCAACCCCACCCCAGAGCCCAGCGCAGCAGGCCTGGTTCCCACCGGTGGCGGCAGCGAAGGCGGGCACACTGTGGAAGCGGACGGGGTTGCCGCTGCGGTGGCCGTCCCAGGGCACGAAGGCGGTGACGGGCCCGCACGGGCAGCGCAGGCGGACGGCGGTCTCGGGGCAGTCGGGAGCTGCCACCAGCCCGTAGTCGAGGGCGAAGCGGCCGAGGGCCAGGACGGCATGGCCGCACA